TGTTTTAATGGCAAAAGTCGTAAAATCCAGACCCTTTGCATTCGCTTTTTATAAATACTGGAAATCAACTCAATCAAAATGTTTAGCACAGACACCGGATCCAACTCGATAATTGGTCGAGGTCAATACCCAATATTTGTATATAACTATGATGCTAATCTGTTATTTATTTACTAGACGAATGGCCCGGGCAACGCCCGGGTTTTACCCGAGTGCGCATATATTTTAAAAACGTTTTAATTCAAATACTATTCGTTACAATTATAAATTGGCGCCATGGATGTCACTCTTGTGAAACGTCGCGTTCCAAACTGTGTGTTTTTAAAACGTTTTAATTAAAATACTATTCGTTACAATTATAAATTGGCGCCGTGGATGTCTCTCTTGTGAAACGTCCCGCCCCAAACTGTGTGTGTCTTGAAAATATAAAAATAAAAATGTGAATTTTCATAAAGATTATATCATGTCGATTTTTTTTTTTTTGCATTTCACCTACTAAATCGATAGAGATAATTACATTTGCAACATGAACTTAGGTATATTGACTAAATAGAAAACTGCATAGTAATAAAGATCATTTTTTAAAGGCACCATATCGTTTTTTTTTTTTCAATAAAATCGAAACAAAAATTAACGATAAATAACGATAATTGCCTTAAAAAGAAATTGCCTTAAAAAAAAAAGAAACATTCGCGGTGATTTTGTCTTGCATTCGTTTATACAATTATTATATACGAATGACCCGGGCAACGCCCGGGTTTTACCCGATTAAATGCTTTTGTTCAAATACTATTCGTTACAATTATAAATTGGCGCCGTGGATGTCATTCTTGTATAATATATAAATGAGTTTTAAAAATTGTAAAAAAAAAAAATGCATCGGCCGGGAATCGAACCCGGGCCGCCAGCGTGGCAGGCGAGCATTCTACCACTGAACCACCGATGGTTATGAAAAATCCCATCCGTGAGCTTCAGACAGACAGACAGACAGAATAAGGCAAATATATAAGTAGATTTTGTTCTACCGGGAGAATCCTGTATGGCACGTGTGCCCAATAAAGGCTCTCAATAAAAAAAATTCGATTCGATTTTTCAATTGGAAAAAGCCTGTAGAAGGACGTCCGAAAGCTTGCTAATAAAATTCGTACAAGATACTCCTCTTCAATCTCCATTTTATTTTTCTATTTCAAAATTTATAGATTGAAAAAGTCTTTTTTAATTCCAAAAAATGTGGAAGTAAGTCTTCAGACAAATAAAGGTAAATGTTTAGTTAAAAAGGTATAAAAATGTCAAGATAAAAAATATGCTTTCTAATACTTCTATATACTTCTAAAATAAAATGATACTTTCTAATGTATTCCAAACTCGACCATCTTCTTTTCGGTATTCCATCATTCCAAGTGACTAACAAAATGTTTATATATATGAAAAAAGACATATAAAAGTCAATATTTCAAAAGTTGACTAATATAAACTCTACGAGTTAAAATATAAGGATGAAAAGGAGTATCTTGTGCAAATTTTATTAGCAAGCTTTCGGATGCATGCGTTCTTCTACAGGCTTTTTGGTTTCGAAATTCGATTCGATTCATGCACCTTATGTAACGGTGAATTTAGTCTCGATTTTCCACACAACATGTTCTACTGCACGGCAATGGAAGAAGAAAGAGACCGGCTATAATAGCAATTCGCCTTATGTTTTAATGGCAAAAGTCGTGAATCCAGACCCTTTGCATTTGCTTTTTATAAATACTGGAAATCAGCCCAATCAAAATGTTTAGCACAGACACCGGATCCAACTCGATAATTGGTCGAGGTCAATACCCAATATTTGTATATAACTATGATGCTAATCTGTTATTTATTTATTTATTTTGTCCTACCGGGAGAATCCTGTATGGCACGTGTTGTAAATATTAAATTCTTCTTTAAATTATTATATAATAAGACAAAATAACCTAGCTGCGGAAGCTTTAGACCTGATGTCCCTGGTTCGAACACACTTTTCGCTATCTTTTTATTTTCTCTAATTATTTTTGTGATCTCTTCCTCATTTTGTAAATATTGACTGAGTTGTCAATAAATTTGCTTTAATAGTCAAATTGTCAATATTTTGAGAAAAAAAATGTTTTTTTTTCTTTACAGATCCAGGTACGCTTTTTTATATAATTTTAGTTTATGATATTTGCAACAATGAATAATATGTAAGGGTTCAACGTTTGGGATTCGATCCCGGTTCATTGCTGTCAGGAATCGAGGGTTTTTTAACCACTCATCAATCGACTGTTATCATATTCGGAGAGGGTCATCTTTTGTGTCACCAAATGTCTAAGTTGGAGGAGTACTGAGGAGAATGCCACGTGATGCGACCAGGTGGCGCTGTGTGCGCAGACGACATCCATGATGCTGCGCTACCTTCTGCCGCTGCTTCTCCTGGCCGCTCTGACAGGAGCCAAGCCTCAAGTCCTCATGGTGTCCTTTGATGGTTTCCGTTGGGACTACTATGACAGGTTCCATCCGGATAGCTTCAGGTTCCTGGCGGAGACCGGGGTTCACGCTCCACGGGGTGTAGCCAATCCTTTCGTTACCAAGACTTTCCCTGATCACTACACCCTTGTTACCGGTAAGTACTTTGTCTCTTCTAGACTGCTGTACAGCCCGGATAGTTGGCGATTTATGCTCCAGGAGCCCGAGTTATCTCTATTTTCTCTCTAAGTACTTTGTTGCTAGGCATTTCTAATCCAATACAGAAGTTGACAAGGCTATATTTGGCACTGTATACTCTTGCATGACCATATATATGTTCAATTCATCTAATCACATGTTAATTCTTGTAAAACTCAGGAATTTATTCTACAATGAACAATCACGCTCTTACCTTTTGCTCCACTTAGCTTTCATTTATAGAACTGCAGAACATTACCGAAATTTTGGGTTTTTGATTCTGAGATGTATTGGAACTTTGTATTGCTTGTTCTTCACAATTCTATAAATGCATCGTTCAAATACCTCAGCAAATCTTAGTATTGAGAGAACAAAAACAAAAAGCTTTATTAAGACATTTTGCTCTTATACAATTTTTTTTATTACAATTATTTTATTTCCAAAGCGCTATATCCCGCAAGGGATACTTACGCCAAACAAGGAGAAAAGTTTATTTACATAAGTTATTTACATTATTCAACGCATGAAAACATTAGAGATCCAGATTTTGTAGAAGGTTTAGAATGTATTTACAAAATGAATGGAACTTTAAATATGATTCTCCGATTAGAAAAGTATATATACAGGAATAACACTAATACTAACAATAATCAGCAATGTAATTTACAATGTATCAAATATGGTGAAAGAAGAAAGAAAGGGCTTAACACAAACTTATATACAAAGCAATCGAGAATAAGCAATTCTGGTATTAAGACAGCAGTAAGAAATAGGAAAGAAATTTTGAGGAAATTGCTTTTGTATGTTTATCTTTTTTCTCCTAGACCAAATTTCTATGGATAATTGTATAAAATTAATTGAATTGTATAACTTTGTATATAGCCAATTTTGTTATGATGTAAAAAAATGTATTGACGCAAATATCCCTGAGTTTAGGATATCGCGTTATAGGATGTTAATAAAGTTAAAGTAAGAAAAATAATATGCAAAAAAGAAAGGATTTGCATAGCACGAAATAATTATGTTCGTTCTAATCTATAAAATGAATGATTTTAGCAATAAGTTTGAAGACTCGGTTCCAAAATCACTTTATTAGGTACAGCTCAAAAAGAACAACCTAGTTTATGATAATTGCAACAATGAATAATACAATATAATACACTGCGGCCTGAGATTGCAAAACAACACTTGAAGTTACACCGCATGAGTTTCTTTTCAATGAAAAATCAAAATTTTATTTAAAGGTGAAATATTGACTATTTCTAACCTTTTTGGATGAGGTATGAAAGGGTGAATTGTGAAGAGTAATGATAAACGGAAAAATAAAAGTGTCCAGGGATGGGAATCGAACCCACAATGTTCCGCTTACCGGGCAGATGCCATGTCCACTAGGCTACCCTGGACGTGTGAAGGGTATTCACATATTAAACAAAATGTCGAATACGGGATTCGATCCCGTTGATGACTGTCGGGAATCGAGGGTGTTACCCACTCGTCCACTTTTTGGTTTGAAGACAATTAATAGAATTATCCGTGCGCACAAAGAGAGAATTAAATGAGTAGAGAGTAAGATTTTGTGTAAACCCGCTTGAACGAGTTTGCTGGCGGGTAGCCAAGTTCAACTTGATGGATGAACTTTTGGAGTTCAGGAAGGAAATCCAGGCATGCAGAAATTATCTCTTTGGGATGTTGTCCAACATACATTCTGTAAGCCCATGTGAATCTCTTTGCGACAACTTCAATAGGATAGTGGTTCAACCGTACTGGGGACAAAATTTTCTACTCTTCCTTCAATATCATACCTCATTACTCAATACATTCGTTTGTAACAATTAAATGTACCGGCTATGTGTTTTTTTTTCAATAATATAATAAAATATCATCTCTACAGGCCTTACTGCAATGCTATAAATTATTGAATGAAAAGATTTGGCTTATCAATGGTGTACCCTCTCTTTCAATAACTTATATCATTGCAGTAAGGTCTGTAGAGATAATATCTGATGATATAATTAAAAAGAAACACATTTTCAGTAAATTTATTTGTTACAAATTTTATCGATTGATGGCAATTAATTCATAAATTTAACTTACATTCATTCTATATATTACTGTCAAAGAAATAACTACTCGATTATTAGCACAAGATCAGAGATAGTTTTCAAAAAGAGAGATTAAATAAAAGCGTTCAATAATAAAGAAAAAATTATAATACAATATAATGCGGCTTATGATTGTAGATAGAAAATTATACCGCAAATGTTTCTTTTGAACGAAAAATCGAAATTTGTTTTAAAGAGAAATAACGATTATTTCTAACCTTAGGGATCAAGTATGCACAGGGTAACTTAGTGGACATGGCATCTGTCCGGTAAACGGAACACTTGTGGGTTCGATTCCCATCCCTAGACACTTTATTTTTCCGTTTATCATTACTCTTCATAATTCATCCTTTCATACTTTATCCCTAAGGTTAGAAATAATCATTATTTCTCCTTGAAATAAATTTCGATTTTTCGTTCAAAAGAAACATTTGCGGTATAATTTTTAAATTTCAATCTACAATAAAGAAAAAGTCAAACCACGCAAGCATTCAATGTTCATAAACCGGTGGTTGGCGCTATTTATAATCTCGAGGAAGCTTTGTCTGCAGGTAATTAGTAATTTCTTTTGCATTTTTTATAGATACCGAGAACAAAATTTCCCTCCGGTAATTTTGTAATTCCCATCGAGTTTGATAATGTATTGTCCAGTAGTTTAGTGTGATAGCTGTTTTGGTTTCACTTAGTAACTTTTCTTCTTCGTTGAGTTCCTTATAATCAAAGTAAATGCTTTTTCTTCGGCAATATATGTACTAAAGTAGATGAGATGCTAGGATTGTAGATTCTACCTACATTTAAGTACGTTTAAACTATCCCATTATAAATATGTATGGATGATACGTGTGTGAAGGAAGGTGTTCTAGCGATGGTAAAATTACTTCTAACCGTCTTTCAATACAGATTAATTTTTCCATTCACACACACAACGCGAATAAAAAAAAAGCTTATTCCAACGGGATTTGAACTATCTACTTATATAATTGCCTTATTCTGTCTGTGTGAAGTTCACTGTCTGAAGTTCACGGATAGATTTTGGTCAGATTATCAGTTATCAGCGTCATGCACAATTCTGTCACGTTAAGTCACGTGTCAAGTTACGGTAAGTAAAAATTTAAATATTAAAAAAAGATGCCGAAACCCGGGATCGAACCAGGGACCTATGGATCTTCAGTCTAACGCTCTCCCAACTGAGCTATTTCGGTTTATTTTAGTTTTTTCTATAGAAGCTTCTATCTTTATAATTATATATATTTCAAAAAGTCAATTCACACCTCTTCGCTGGAGACCATGGGAATACTGACTAATTCATTATGCTAACATAATTATAAATACAAGTATCAGAGTCATCAACAATTCTGTCATCGTTTGCTTTTGTGAATGGAATAAATACCCAACTAGGGCCATTTCTTATAAGCATCGGTGGTTCAGTGGTAGAATGCTCGCCTGCCACGCGGGCGGCCCGGGTTCGATTCTCGGCTGATGCATTTTTTTTTTACATATATAATAATTGTATAAACGAATGCAAGACAAAATCACCGCGAATGTTTCTTTTTTTTTTTTTGGGGCAATTATCGTTTTGCACAATTACTTAATCTTTTAAAATAAATAACAATACTTAAATGAAAATATGTTTCTTTAAATAAAATAAAATAAACTTTTAAATCGGTAACCTTTATGAGAACCTTTAAATATATATAAGTACCTTTAATCGATAATCGTTGTTGTATCGATAATGTTTGTAACGAATAGTATTTTAATTAAAACATTTTAAAAACACAGTTTGGAACGGGACGTTTCACAAGAGTGACATCCATGGCGCCAATTTATAATTGTAACGAATAGTATTTGAATTAAAACGTTTTTAAAATATATACGCACTCGGGTAAAACCCGGGCGTTGCCCGGGCCATTCGTCTAGTAGCTTTATAAATACTCAAGGATGAGAGGTAGGTCAAGGAAGGTGTTCCAGCGATGACAAAATTTTTTCTAACCGTCTGAAACGCATACCATTTTCAACATGTATTTCAAAAAACGTATACAAACAGAGGCGTTTGAACTAGCGTTTTATAAATACGTAAGGGTAATACGTGAATCAGGGAAGTGTTCCAGCGATGGAAATTTTTCTTCTAACCGTCTTTCAAGACCGTTCAATTTCAATAAGTATTTTTAAAAAGCTTATACAAACAGATACGTTTAAACTATCGCTTTATAAATGCACAAGAATGATACGTGTGTCAAGAAAGATGTTATAGTGATGGGAAAAAATTATTCTACCCGTCTTTCAATACAGATCATTTGCAACGCGAATAGAAAAAGCTTATACAAACAGAGGCATTTGAACTATCGCTTTATAAATACGTAAGGATGATTCATTTTTCATGGAGAGTTTTCAAAGATAAGAAATTTGCTCTACCTGTATTTCAATACAGATCATTTCCAATACGTATATTTAAAAAAAAAGCTTATGCAAACAAGCGTTTGAACTATAGCTTTATAAATGCGTAAGGATGATACGTGAATCAGGTAGGATTTCCAGCGATAATAAAATTCCCTCTCTAACCGTCTTTCAACATGGATCATTTTCAACACATATTTAACAAAAAAACGTATACAAACAGAGAGAAGTACCTCTTAATTTGATCATACAAAAAGATTGCAGAGTCATTTCCTCAAGTTACCCTCAAGTCGCAGCAAACATTTGAAAATCTCACTCCAGTAACTTTGAATCTACTTACTGTTGAGGTAGTAAACCATCTTTATCGTGGCTTTGGCTTGGATTTATAACAACTATGGATTGACGCAAATCAACCATTTTTATCATTATTTCTCAAAGTTTCGGTTACTCATTAAATGATATTTGATACACAGTGACTTTTATTAAAGACACAAGAGGTAACCAAGTGAAACAACCTCTGTCTTCTTAAAAAAATAATCAACTGGCGACATTAAATATTTTTCAATTCCTTAATTTTTGTCTATGAATGTATCTAAATACAAAATTGTCCCAAAAGTTCGTAAACACTTGCAAAAAATTGAAATACCAATATTATTTGACGTTATGGATAATGTATTTGTATTCTATATACAGTTACGAGCGTCATGCGTTCTTCATCTCTGTCACCGTTTGCTTTTTTTTTTTTTTTTTTTTGGAATGGCGCTCTCTTATTGGTTCGCTACGATGGCGCCGCCACTGCGCGAGACACTTTGTTTTTTACTTTGCCCACCCCCACTCGCTTTTTGGTTTTTGTAACTATTGTGTTGGTGCGGGTCGCTCCTTAAATAAATGCATATATTAGTTAATAACTAAATGGAATCCTCTCTTTCTTTTTCCCAGTAAGAGACGCCTGCGGAAGCCAACAGTACATAGACAGATAAAGCACATAGGCTATAGTTATTAACTAATATATGCATTTATTTAAGGCGCCAATTTATAATTGTAACAAATAGTATTTGAATAAAAACATTCAATCGGGTAAAACACGGGCGTTAATGATCCAACAGGTCCACGTGTCTAAATTAAAACACGGGCGTTGCCCGGGTCATTCGGCTAATTATGTATAAAGTAATTGTATTATTATGTATTTGCCGTAATAATATTATTCGCCAAGTAATAAGAAAAACAACGTTTTAAGAAAAAACACGAACTTTTGGGACAACCTTATAAAGAGTTTCTCATATTATAATTTTGAATGGAGGCGCTGGACGTTTTAGGTGTTTGCATTCGAACTTTAATTTTTTTTTAATTACAGCAAAAATTAGCATTCTATAATTCGACAATTTGAGTTCATTTGTTAACATTCTATTAAACTCTGTACCTTCAAAATGGCAAAGACTGGTCTCCGAAATATCGGAATGGTTGATATGTTTAATCTTTACTATGGGGGTTCGGTGGAAGGATGGTCTAGAGCAGTGATTCTCAACCAATGTGCCGCGGTAATTTTGTGTGCCGCGAAATTCTAAAAATGTGCCGCCGAATTTTAGTCATATGATTATGTTCACGTTTGTATTGGTTTTTCTTTTTCATTTTTTTACTTTTTAAAATAACGAAATTAGCAAATTGAATGTTAGAGATGTATATTACTTATATTTTGCATAGAAATATTGCCACGTGGAAAATTAGGGAAGACAAAAACTTCAGGAGGAAACAAAATTTATTTCAGGGAAGGACAAACTAAGAAAGGTAAACAATAGATAAGCCACGAGGGAAATTTACAGAGTCGCAAGATATAAAAATAAAAATGACAACTCTGTTAAATAAAAAATAATAAAATTAAGAAATACTATGTTACATAAATTAAATTAATACATACTATGTTACAATATTGATACATAATTTGAATTTTCTTGCATTCAAGTTAGCAGAAGTGTGCCGCGAAATTCTAAAATTGTGCCGCCAAATTTTCAAATCTTTAAAATAATGCCGCAACAAAAAAAAGGTTGAGAATCACTGGTCTAAAGTCTAGACCGTTGGTTTTTGACCGCTAAGACCCGGGATCGAATCCCGCATTGGGCGCTTTTTTTTTAAATAAAAAAAATGCTCTAATAGCCCCTGAATCTTGCAAAATTTCAACCCCAATATCGAGTGCAAGTATTCAAACGGGACTCTGGAATATTTGTAAGTGCAAAGTCGAACTGCTTTTCACATGTGTAGATATGTGGTGTACATACAGTAAAAGCAGTCTCCAACTTCTATCCACCATGATTATCATTGCCTGTACCACGTGTACTAGGGATAATAATAAGAAAAATAAATTTTGTATCACCAAAAAACTTTTAAAATTCGATGTATGGTTGGGAAGTCCTAGTCAAGTCTAAACTTCCTTATCTTGTTTAGGAATGTAATAGTTTCCTCTTGCAGTGGTTTTATATTCCAGCATTGTAACCACACTCATGGACAAAACTTAAGGAAGTGGAAAGTCTGTGTCACTGGTCATCTCTTTTTTTTTTTTTTTTTTAAGGACACATAGGCAATTTTGTTCACACTTGGTTATCTTCACAATAAAGGTCACTGTAATATCTTTCAGAGTTATTGTCTGAATCCCGATATACATGCTAAAAGGTACAACTTCCTTAAGTTTTGTCAATGAGTGTGTCTTCAATAAAGGTCACTGTAATATCTTTCAGAGGTATTATCTGAATCCTGATATACATACTAAAAGGTACAACTTCCTTAAGTTTTGCCCATGAGTGTGTCTTTAATAAAGGTCACTGTAATATCTTTCAGAGTTATTGTCTGAATCCCGATATACATGCTAAAAGGTACAATGTTTTGTCCATGAGTGTCTTCAATAAAGATCTCTGTAATATATTTCAGAGTTATTGTCTGAATCCCGATATACATGCTAAAAGGTATATGATAATAATAAAAATTTCTATTGTAACATGACATATTCATATTCAGACTGTAACAATGGTGTTGTTTTGTTAGAATGGTATGAGTGTGGTTAAGCCGAGGATTGTGTCAGAATACCAACAAATGATGTCCCCCGTGTCTATCCGACACGTGACAAATATTCCATTCACGGCATGTGTCTTGCTTACGCAATATGACGACACCTAGAAGGCTATTTATAAATCAGACATTATATTTTCAATTTATGTCGCCTCTTCCCTTTTTTCTTTTTTTAAGATTAATTTCATTCGTCATGAATAATAATTATTTTTCCCTTCGTGTTCACTGTTTTCTCTTTGCAAGCTCTACACACCATATTCGTTATGGATATGGAAACAAAATGATTTTTTAATATTATTTGAAGCGCCGTAAATCAGCAATCTTAATTCAATTTTGTATATGCGATTTAGTATGTCTACACTCATGGACAAAACTTAAGGAAGTTGTATTTTTAACATGTATATTGGGATTCAGACAATAACTCTGAAAGATATTACAGTGACCTTTATTGAAGACACACTCATGGACAAAACTTAAGGAAGTTGTATTTTTAACATGTATATTGGGATTCAGACAATAATTCTGAAAGATATTACAGTGACCTTTATTGAAGACACACTCATGGACAAAACTTAAGGAAGTTGTACTTTTTAACATGTATATTGGGATTCAGACAATAACTCTGAAAGATATTACAGTGACCTTTATTGAAGACACACTCATGGACAAAACTTAAGGAAGTTGTACCTTTTAGCATGTATATCAGGATTCAGACAATAACTCTGAAAGATATTACAGTGACCTTTATTGA